CAACGAGGCGATTAGAAAACGGGTATCTGGTTGGCCTGCAGGCACCTTAATCCGGGAAAACATCCAGCATCATCGACTGCGATGGCTCGGTCATGCGCTACGCATGCCAAAACACGTCTACCGCGCTCACCCACTCTTTTTCTCTTCTCTTCACTGTAGGACTTTTAATGCAGTTATATATACATATATAACTAGACAAACCTTATGGTTGTACGGCAGTGAAGCATCAGTGGCAACACTGATGTTGCTGTCTTTGATGATGATGATGATGTATGCGTACGCTTACCCAGAACATCAGATCAGTGCTGCCGAAGTACGTTGGATGAAAAAAGCGACACATTCCCGATAAACTGCAAGGGTTCATGGTTTAAGTTAGATACGGATGGACTTCTGCTACACGGAGTCCTTCGCTCAGTTATGCACTACTTACTATCCTTTTAGGCGACTGTTTACTCAGTGAGGATGGGTTGAATTCAGAAATCTCTCGATCAACGGCTATCCACGAGCAGCTGCCAGATCTGCGCACATGGTGCCTCAGTGCAGGTTGAGGCGACGGAATCGGTAAATTACATGATGACTTTGTCCGATCCTCGCAGCAAGTGTGATGATCAACCAATGGAAGTCCTAACCGGAGACCTCGGACTCCTTGTCTCTCCATCTAGAGACTCGTAACTTACCTTACGTAAATAGCTGAAAACGGTGGAGTGCATGATCCGGGTACGATGCCATTATCGACCCTGAATAGGAGTTCTTGCCTTAAATGTTTAGTTATTCGCCGTCATCCTCAATTTCTAGACGTCCGCGCCCTCTATTCCCTTGTGACTACGGTAGCTAGGACCACTGTACCGTAACACCCTCTTTAGAACCTGCGCAATGCACTATTGTTGCAACTCGATGGAAGTCCACACTTTGATAATTTCAAACAGATCCGAGCCAATCCTGGGCTCTTCGTTAGACTGGTTTGTCTTGTTCTGTCACAAACTTCCAGCCTACGAATGTAGACGCTTGGTGGTTCGCTTGAATACAGAAGTCCCAACTTTGGAAATGGACTTGATTGACTTGAATTTTCCCAGATGACATACTCATCTCTGCGGTACATTTTTGCTTTCTTTTTTGTGAAACACTGGGCAATTTGGATTACTTCACTTCTGTTTTATCCACTTTGCTTTGTGATCATCTCGTGATTAGATTTCTTCCCTACCGGTGATTCGGTCCGCGCCGAGTTGTCTCACGACGCACGTTTGCTGCGGTCACTGCTAGTGAGAACTGCCGGTGCCGAGGCCGGTGATAAAGATGTGATTGCCGAGGCGCAAAGACGGTTTGATTTATATCGTCGTGATCCCAACCCCAATATTATTCCTGGGGATCTCCGCGTTGCTATCCTTTCAACCGTTGTCCGACATGGAGGTCATGATGTGATTGACTATTTGATGGAGGTGAGACTGTGTTTTCACTTTTTTGTAAGACCTGGGCGATCGTTTTTCTGTCTTCTTGTCCATCGGGACAGTATCAAGCAATAAGGTCCTGGAAAAGGCTGCATTGCCGCAGCAGTCCATTAGGACTGTTCTGTGAATGGATGTCCTCAGATACGTACCCCTTATTGTATTGTGAACACTGGATAGCTGGAGATGCGTTTATTTATAATACGTCGTATTTATCAGGGTTATCTTACTCGACGGTGACTATGCTTCGGTCGCCTGAGATAGCCGTTACACGAAAATATTTAGGATAGCCCCCTTTCTGGAGTCTTTTTAATCGTTTCTGGGGGCGAGATGACCGGAAGGTTCGTGGTTCGAACCTGACCTCAGCCTCTCGACTTCCCCTGTCTAGACTTGGGTAACCTGGCAATATCCCAGCCCTCGTGCAACCTTCGGGTGGCATGACAGTTAAACACTGAAAGGGTGCAACAGCTGAACGATTTTTTCAATCATTTCTTTTTAGTAGTCACCTACAAGCTGATTAAACAACGAAACACAATACACTTCACATGAGTGTCTCACGAACATTCGGGTAGAATGTCTCTTGCTGTCGGAACTGCCCATCGGGTTTGTTTGATTCAGTGGTTTTCCGGTAATGGTCGTGCTTGACGCTTTTCACCGTGTTCTCTATTACCTTCCTTGTCTGAAGTTCTGCAAAAAAACTATGTTGCTACTTCCTCCATAAAGCCTCGTCTTCAACTGTTAAGTTCATGTTGGATTCAGTTATCCTCCAGGGAACGGTAGTGTTCAGAGACTTATCGGCGCACTAATCTACACTCAAACTGTTCTCTTCTTTCAGGCCTATCGTGTAGCAAAGTCTCCAGAAGAACGCCCACATATTCTGAGTGCACTGGGTGCGGCAAGGGAGGTGAGTGGCCATCAGGACGGAGGAGATCCAGCCGAACCGCATTCACCGCTACTACGAGTGCTGAAATTCTGTTTGGATCCAAACGGCCCGGTGCGTGATCAGGATCGTATTCACGGACTGCAAGCCTGTGCTTCTTGGTCTCATGCATCCCGAGTGGCTACCTGGGAAGCTATGAAAGAAGACTGGTCGCACTTGTCGGACATATACCATGGTCAATTCTTGCTTGCCTTCCTGATTAAGGTGGTCTACTCGTTTTTGGAACTGTTTTTTTTCACCTGTTGTGTTTCTATCTATCATCTCCAGTTGACTCTAGTGCTTTTGCAGAGCAGGATAGCTGTAGGAAGGATCCGTTGTTAGCCGGACAACTGTCTTCCACAAGTCCTTTACTATGGAATGGTTTGTAGGAGTTTCTACGTTCCCATTTACATCTTCTCTCATACTGACACGGTGACTGTGATCAGTCTACACTAAAGAAGAGTCACTCCGAATATTAACAGCTCGAGTGTGTCTATTGTTTATTGATCTGTGTGCCGAGCTTGGAAGTCATCTTGCAAACGTTTTGTCACCAGTCGAGCAGTTCTCCTGACTGCGTGGTTCACCATGTCAATTACGAAGCTTGGCAAACAGATTAACAGCCAAGAGGAAGCGTATCCCTTCTCAAGGCTCATCAGCTGGTCACTACTCTTGGATGCTACGCCCCCCAATTCCCCGAATCGTGGCTTTTATGGAGAACCTCAGGAATTTGCGCTTGTCGCCCACCATTTCTGTCTTAAAATGTGTTAACAGAAAACTTGTGTGGACGTGAACGTACCACCAACCATCTTGAGGGACTATTCAACACCCGCTTGACGACATAAAATTAACACGTGAACTTACTAGACACGAGGGTAGTTTAGCCCATGGCTTGTATCCACGAGACACCCTCCCCATTCTCCCAAATACACTACTTCTCTACACCGTTATTAGTTATGCTGCCTAATCAAACCGGTTACGTCACACGGTTCAAGAGATGGAAGCCCTGTGGTTTCAATTCGAAATAGAGAGCCACAAAGTCAATGAGATTACGATATTCCTTAACCCTGAGACTATCCAAAACCATTGAGGGCATTCCAGTTAGATGGACAAACTTATCCTTGCAAACCGATTTTCTATTTCAGGGTGTACTGTCCGGTTTCGGGATGGATAAATACGTCGCAGATGTCAAGGTAGGTGGTTTTTGTCACAAATGTGTGTGTGTGCCGACTCGATACGTACAGGCACCTTAGTCCCGCTAACAGATAACCCCATTAAAAAAGGGGCTTTTCTCTCTTTACGGGAAATTTCACATTAGTTCGTGACCTATGGGGGGCGAGATGGCTCAAGTGGTTAGGGCGCGAATTTACTGACCAGAAGGTCCATGGTTCGAACCCGACCTCTGCCACTCGCGTTCCCCTGTCTAGGCCTGGGCGACCTGGCAGTATCTCAGCCCTCGTGCTTCCTCCGGGTGGCATGGCAGCTAGGCACCGCAAGGGTTTTACAGCTGAACGATTATTATATTTTTATTTACTATCAATACTTGTGTCATAATTGGTGCTTGATTTTAGCGTTATTACTAGTAGCGATAGAAAAATGCTTATGCGGAATGGTGTCAACCGCAGTACGCACGGTAAACCAGTTAGGAAGTACAAACCAATTCGAACATCAAATTTTAACTGGAAGGCACACAATGCACAATCGATGCGCTCAAACCACGGTAGACGCTATATCGGCCTCAAGCCTTTTTGTGAAAATACCTTGTAGGTGATTCAGAAAACAAGGGCTCGCACTTATTCTGTTGTATACACTGAAGATGCATCCATGTGACAGCTACAGTTGAGTAGCTGTTTTATGGATAGAAGGAGCAAGATCACAACCAGACGCAAAACCACGGTTATTGTCCTATTCCAAATCGTCCAAGATGTAGGCGTAACGCACTACTCATAAGGCTGCTTGATTCAGCTTGGTCTCCTTTTAATAACCAAGTTCTTGTGCAAATGAGAGTATTTGTTGTAATTTGAAACGTGTTCTTTCACCCGCGCCTCAAGTCTCATATCAGTTAACCCTACTTGTGAAGAGCTGTTGCTTATGCGGTCATGGGTTGATGTCTCTAATGCCGTCTTAGTGGTTCGGTGCTATATGTACTCCAGAATGTATGCGATACAACGCAATGATAAATACAGCATCGAAGACGATTGTCGGTGTGGAATGCGTTTACAGTAGAAACCTCCGATTCGGAGACTTATTGACGCAATTATCTCGCTTGAAAACAACGGTCCTCTCACGTTCTACGTAAAAATTCTTTGACTAGATGAAACAACCCATCCCATTGTCCCGACCGTTCGGAGCCTGCGGCGATTTTATTGTTAGACTGAGGATTACCGGATCTGTTTTGATGATGGCAAGGCAGAGTAGCCACGTAATCCACAGTTGAGAATGACACCAGTGAACATACCCAAGTTTTTCGGACAATTCAATTGAGTTCAAACACGTGTGCTTAGTGTCTCCGTCTTGTCCGGAATGGACACACCCTTCCCACGATATGGATGCACATTTGTTGCTGTTGAATACAGATCAGCAAGATCTCATAATGGTGATTGAATTATCTGTTTTGACTTCACAGTGCACGCGTCATCGCTAGACCCAGTGAGAACGAGCTTCTTTGTTTCATTCTCTCCAGGGCGGTCGTTCTCTTTCACGAAGGACGCTTGAGTGCTACTAAGCCGGGTTGATCTAATACAGATCAACAATTCTGCTGTCATGTTACTGATCCCACTGACTTTCCTACTCTCGTTTGAGTTTCCCCTGTATACAACACTGGAAAAGAAAATCTTGAATCTTATCTAATCGGTTTGTTTTACATGATGGAATCAATCAGTGAAGCATGAATAATGACACTACAACCGTCCTCCCCATTCTTGAATTTATAGTTCCTCCGATTGAAGCTGAAATGGTGTTTTAATACCCATCTTTTCCTTCACTTGTATACCCCCGGATGCGCTCTAAGTTGTAAAGCAAGCTACCATATCTAAGTGACTTCATGTGAAACCTATGTGTTCCTGCTAATATCGAATGCCATCTGTCGTGTGTGCTTTTCTCAGTATTTCCGTGTGTTTTCTTTAAATTTTCACATCGACACCCTCTCTGCTGAACGTTTAGTTTCCGTGACGGTGTGAGAACCTGTCGCCAGCTTCCTCGACTATCCCGTATTCTTACATCTCTTGTTTTTTTTTCACAGACCTTTTTCGACAAAACTCCGGTAAGCTGTCCCCGTGCGGTAAAACAGGTGTTTGAGACAATGGAAATCAATCAAATGTTACTTCGGCGAGACGCTTCATTGGTGGATTCGGCGCTTAGTAATCTGTCTAATGGCGGGGGCGCCTCTTGACTTTTTGATACGCTTTATTCTATCATGATGTCTGTGTGTATGCCCGGTGTTGACCATTGGAATGTTGTTAGTGCATTTGTGTTTCCCATATTGATAGCGGCTTTCCTCCTAGGTGAAGGAACTGATTCTTGGTTTGTGCATTACTAATAAATCTTTCAAAATTTATGGATATAAACTTCGGACCACGTAACGACCACCGTGCTTCTTTCAGCTACTAAGTGGGATAAAGGAGCGGGGATTGATGGTCTTAATGAAGCTGTTCCTAACAATCCAACACAAAGAAAGTTCTTTTTTTCCTGAATAGCTTTGTGTTCACATATATCTCGACGATAGCTGGCGTATTCATTCCTGGAATGTGTGCGGCAATACCATCGCGGCTAGGAGCCTATTAATAGCTAGGTTGGAGCGATCCCTCTACTAGATACCCTTATAGGGATATCCAAGCGGTATTCCTCGTCACCCATGCTCTAATGTGGGATATCACCACCCTAGAGAAGCTGAATACCCCTCCCCTCTACCGCCATAATATATGTTTAAGGCGCCCTACACTACCACTGTGTTGTACCTCCGTCGTATCATCATTCATCATAGCGGCACCCTCGCCTTTCGTCACCCACAGGTTTGTTCGAACGATATCTCCATTATTCCTCTCGTTCTGCCGTTACTCCCTCGGCACCAAAATGGAGCAGATATTGCTCATCATGAGAGTATCTGTGCCTTACTTGTCGTTATTTCACCTGCCGCTACTGCATCATGCTCAGTGTGGCCTCAATCAGCCATCATAATTGGATGCTGATGATGGAGAGGCTTATAGATTTCCTTACTTTGACGGTTTTGTCATGCCATTTGGAACACATCGAACCCCGCGATCAAGCCAACATTGCGCATGAGTAAAAGAGAGACGGGTGGGAAGCTATCTGTCATTTACTCAACTGAGTCCTCCAAAATCTACGTGTCATTATGGTACGAGTACATGCTTTCATGCGAACAAAATCACAGACCTAAATCGTTTTATTTCAAACCTTGAAAGTAATGCTCCTACTTTGTCGATACAGAAAGTATTTGGTAAAACTGAGCGCGAAATTTCAACCAAATATCTCGTTAGTTTCTTGGACACGGGTGGGAGTTGTAAGCAGTTAGGTCTGCCGTAAGCCTAGTAGACCTAAGACAAGTTGAAAGTGTACATTATTATTACAGTTTCTTTGGGAGGGGTACTAATTTTCGCTGTCATCATCGTTGTCAGCCGTAATAGCCGCGTACTTGTCGTACAGTGGTTGTAGCCGCCACAGTTTCGTTCACCGATGATTCGGGGAGGTGGGGTAGGTAGCTGCGCATTGAAGGCGGGAGCTGATAAATTACTGAGTAAATACAGCACTGTCAGCATCAGTCCAACCACCGTAATACTAAGTGAGTGAGATCAATTTCTATTGTCACTTGTCATCTCAAAAATCCTGGTCGAAGAATAGAATCCATGAAACAGAATCTTTTCTGTCAACTGGAAAAAGTTTGGAACCGATTGAGAAGTCATCATTTCAGAAGAGCTTGGTAAACAGTCGGTAGTTTTTATTTGGGCAACGTTTCGCTTTTGACACAAAAGCTTCATCAGGCCAAGTGAACAGGTCACAAAATTGGCCAGGTTACTTGGGTCACTCGAGCTGACACGTGTTGGTGTGCGGTCATCAGTAGGAAGAGTAGTCATCACTTGGATTCCACTTGACCTCAACCCCCCTCAAACTAAATTGTCGGAACACTCACAACCCCACAAAGACTAAGGAAAATCTGACAGCGGCACCCGAGGCGAATCATCAGGTGAAGCACTCTGAAGTGGAAGATTAAGGAACGGAAAGCGATCGGAACTAATTTGGAACCCTCCAACACATCGATTCAAGATTTTGGCACCCATACTAGCCGACAAGAGCCGTTAATTGACACTCAACACTGATTTAGTCTGAAGAGAACTTACTGATTGGTTCCCCGTCTGTCTTATAACCTGGCCAATTTTGTGACCTGTTCACTTGGCCTGATGAAGCTTTTGTGTCAAAAGCGAAACGTTGCCCAAATAAAAACTACCGATTGTTTACCAAGCTCTTCTGAAAGAATCTTTTCTGATTTTGTTGGTTATGTAGAACTGATGCGAAGTTTTATTAGAGTTCGGCGTTCATTTTTTTCTCAAACACACGTGCAATACTCTCATAACGAGGGCGCACAGGTTCTTTCCACTTGGTGGGAAAAATGTCTGCCCTTAAAATGGCCCTCCCAAAGAGGATGTCTCCATTTTGGAGGTATAGGCAACCCGTGTTGATGTGATGGATTAACTCTCATCGACTGGCTTAGTGGAAATTCACCTACAGCTGTTGCTGCTGGCTTTCTCTGAAGCAGTATAGATAACAACACAGCAAAAACTGCTAGACTGGGAGTGACCTGCACTCATCCACTCCCCGAAACACGTTACTCCACTCCTCCATGTTCATCAATACTAATAAAAGTACCCTATTCGTGAGCACTTCGTAGCATGTCTTTTTATTGCTTTGGTGAAAAAGATTATGTTGTGTTGTGTTTAATGGGACCTGGAGTCATTTATGGTTACTGCATTCGGGTGTGCAGAATTAGTTCACTCCGAAAGGACTATTACCTGAAGATAAGTGTTTCGGATGTAACGCACTACTCACAGGTTGCTGAAAACCCTTTGACAATCCGCCACCGGTCTCATCCTTTTTGCGGCTCATCAGGTAGGCGCACTTCCCGAGTTCTCACCAACCTCATTCTCTACTTGAACCCAAATTAAACAGGCAACTTTCGACAAATGCTATCCCTAATTTGGCTTCGAAAAGAGATTCAACGGAATTCAGATGATTCTCTCGTTTATGGTGTTCTTCTGGATTCACTTCAAGTTCCTGGTAAAACCAAATGAGTGTTAGTGTGTCAAGATATTGGTAGCTCGAGTGTGTGTACTGCTGCTTGATCAGATGGTCGTTGATCTGTTCGCCGAGCTTGGCACTTAACTTGCAAACGTTTCGTCCCCAGTCGAGGAAACATCGCCAGTGCGCAGCTGAGTGGGTGCTCCCTCCGTGCCTAGCTGCATTTATATGGTTTTTGATGAGTATCTGACATCCTCTCATATGATTGGCTGATTTGTATATGGATCACAAAGCAGCACAAATCGTGATCGGGCTAATAACATCACAAGATAGGCACATGAGAGGATATCGGATACTCTCCAAAACTAAGTAAACGCGGCCAGGCACGGAGAAATCACCCACTCAACTGCGCACTGATGATGCCTCCTCAACTGGAACGAACGTTTGCAAGCTAATTGCCAAGCTCGGCGAACAGATCAACCACCGAATGAGATTATTTNCTATTTATTTAGTAAGCACTTCGTAATTGGTAACCACTACACAGATCATCTCGACATTCGGTTCGTTAACCTTCAGACTTCACAGCCGATAGTAAGGTGATATTTGTACAAATTTCTGTTTGAAGTTTTCCACGTTCAGGAAGGAGTATCCCTTACATTTGTATTCAGTTGCGACAAACTAGCCGGGGATTTGAAAAAGCGAAAATAAGATTGCCAGTTACCTCGTGGTGAAATGACAATTTTCAAAGCGGATCAGTCGACCAATACTACCGGATGATATTCATTTTACTAGGCGAAGTCAGTCCATTTTTTAACCCAATAGTGTGCCTGTGTTTGTGTATGGTGCTCGTTTGTGGGGATGAACTGAGTAAACGTTAATGGACCCCTTGTTCCCTATTCACAAAAAACCAAGCTTGTGACATTTTAAGCTTCAAATCGGAATATTCTCATCACAAGGATTGTTCACGTGATCCGATCATCTGACTAGATTTGCCATGCGACGAACTTTTTTTATTGCGCTAACCATCCCTCACTGTTTACAAACCGCTTCGGAACTGTGGACAATTTTAGAGGCTATGAATGCAGTAAGTACATAATGGCCTAATTTCGATCCCATCCTCGGGATTATGCCATCGCAAGCTAAACAGTAGGAAGTGCGGCAGTAATCTCATCCTTGGTAGTGCTGCATATCTCGCAAATCCCGCGGGGTATTCAAGCCAACAACCTTCTAGAAAAGAGTCAGTACATATGGTCATTCAGGTGGTTGGGAAATGGATTGGTTAGCTTGCATTTGCGTCGGTTTATTCAAAAGCTCTTATCGGCTGTCGGAACGTTGCCTCGAAGGTTTTAACCCCTTAGTTTATGAACCTGTGCTGTGAATTTAGGCAGTCGTGTGAATCATAATGAGTTCAGGCGGATGTTTAAATCAGTTGGAGTAAGCACGTCTCATTCACGTGAAATATCGTCATGCAACTCCGATACTGAATAACTCAGGCTGCAGATTTTCGGAAAGTTGAAATTGTACTGTGGATTACTGTTATCAATAACAGCGGAATATATGGTTCTGTGCGGAAAGGTTTTTATGGAATAAGGCGGAAATGCTGGCTATCAATTTCGAGAGCGCGATACCTGGTGCCTATGCAGCGGCGTTCGAGGTGAGCATCGCTCAAAAGAACCTTCATTTACCTAGAAAGCGTTTTATCCATCGTACACTGATGAATGCAGGATGACTTTAAAGTAGTCCATGCTAAGAATAGCTCCACTCCTTGGATGCCAGGAGGCTTTATACCTGAATTGTAGTCGAGACGCTAATCTTGAGGTGTTTTTCGGTCCAGTATTGCTGTGGTAATGGCTCTATGACGAAATTGTCATCTGTGATTAAGGCAATGCATAGAGCTCTGGGATATTCAGAAAGCAACACAACGAAAATGTGAGCAACGGACCGCAAGCCATGGACAACCTACAAACTGTTCAAGACTTGTAATGTACTACTCATAAGGTTGCTGAAAATCCTCGACAGCCCCACGACCGGTTTCGCCCTTTTTGGGGCTCATCAGGTAGGCGCAGTCCCCGGGTTTCCGTCAACCTTATGTTCTACTTAAAACCAAATTAGTTTGAAAATGAGTGTACGTTCAAGACTTGGTTGTAATTATGTAGTCGATGGTGAACAGGCCTATTCTCAGCTGTTTCTGTGGATGAATTACGTATTGTGCACCAAACGCACAAAATGAGGAGCTCTATTCGTTTTCAGCAACATCCTACGTCATCCGAAGCAAAAGACTGCTGTTCTGACATATACTAGGTACAGTCAGTTTACACCACCG